ATAGATCTCTTTCTATAATAAAGTGAAGGACTAATTTAGAATTTCATTGTTCATTTCTGATTTCATGGGGATCATGTCATCTCTTCTATTTTCTTGAGAACAGGGACCATGTCTTCCTCTACTTCTGACTTTCCTGTAAAACTAGAACAGTTCTAGGCAAATTAGATGCTCAATGAGTAAGATGGCCTTTTTTGCCCTGGGAATAATTTTTACAGTGCAAGTGGTTTGTATATGAAAGGACCAGTTGAAAAATGTGATAAAAGCTCCAAAAGCCATAGGGCTTATGGGCTGGATTAACTTGTCTCATCCTGACATCACAGATGCTCTATTTGCATAACTGTGCCCCACTGGTGATGACATTAAATCATGATAATGCTTGGGTCTTCCCACAGTTCTCGGTTTCAACTTTAAGTCTTTTTTTTTAATTTATGTTTTTTTCTCTTATTTCACAGAGCTTCTCTCAACCCACATCAGAATATTTTAAGATATTTTAAGACAAACTTGGGCCATATTTATTTAAAATGCAGATTCTCAGGTCCTGTCCCAGATCATCTGAATAAGAATCTCAGTCTGGAGCTTGAGATTAGCTCTCCAGGTAATCTTAATGCTCATTACACACTGTTGTATGGGATTTTTGTTGCTGAATAAAAGATATGGTTTCAGGCCTGGCGCGGTGGCTCACGCCTGTGATCCCAGCACTCCGGGAGGCTGAGACAGGCGGATCGTTTGAGCTCAGGAGTTCGAGATCAGTCTGAGCAAGAACAAGACCCCGTCTCTACTAAAAATAGAAAGAAATTAGCTGGACAACTAAAAATATATAGCTAAAAAAATTAGCCAGGCATGGTGGCGCATGCCTGTAGTCCCAGCTACTCGGGAGGCTGAGGCAGGAGGATCGCTTGAGCCCAGGAGTTTGAGGTTGCTGTGAGCTAGGCTGATGGCACAGCACTCTAGCCCAGGCAACAGAGTGAGACTCTGTTTCAAAAAAAAAAAAGAGAGATATGGTTTCAAAGCATATTCCCAGACAATATTAAATGGAGGATTCAGGGGAGTTAGATATCTAGGTGACGCAAATGTTTTATATTGAAATGCGTAATGCATCTTATCACCTGGGCACGGCTCATTTATATGGTCTCATGTTCCAGGTGCATCACACTGAATGTGTTCAAATCTTTAAACCGATATCATCATCCCACAGTAAGTATTCGTGTTGCACTGGGAGGCTTTGGAAATGCTAAAATGGGATTTCAGTTTGGCCCAGGAGCTCCCTGGATTTTCCAAGGTGCATTCCTTTTGGTTTTTCCGTTCCAGTTTAGGTTACCTTTCTCTCGATTTTCATGACAGATCACAAAGAGCTGTCTCTCTCCCACAGCTGTTGGAGATAGCTAATGAGGATTGGCGTGGACGGGTAGCTCATGAGCCCCTGTGGGTTTACTGGCTACAAAGGTCAGGGCAGACTCACCACTAGCCCAGGGTTATAGAGTGCATGGCAGTCGGTCAGGAAAGATAAATCTGACAAGATGGGGAACAAAGGAAGGTTATTATTACAAGAAGTGTCACTCAGATGATAATGGAACTTAACCAGTGAAAAAAATCACTCAAATCCTGACCTGGCCCAAAAGGAAAATAACCGCTAGACTTGCAGAATTTATTGCAGCACTGTGATTGTTTGGCCATTAAAATGTCACTTGCAGAATGAAGTAGTTGGGAATGCTGACTATAAAATGAAATTGTTTTTTAATTCTTCTCAAAATATTCCAAGCATTATTGAACGACCAGTTTATTAGGTCTCTGGGGAAATAATTATGACTTAAGGCCTCTTTTCAACGTAGACCCTCCCTTCTCTTTTTCTTCTCTCTCGTTCTCTCTCTTCCTCTCTCTTGTTCTCACTTTATTTCTATCTCTATCTCTGTTTCTTCAAGTTCATCAATAATTTTCCTAGGGATCATTTGAGGAGCCATGAAAATGAAAACTTAAATTTGCAACACTTTACACAATGTGGCTTATTCTTGTTGATGGTACATCTCTACTATGGCTTGATTTGGAGAGACTGCCTGATTCCAGGGAGAAGGCTTTTACGAAGCTTTGGAAGTGCCTCCTCCATTTCATCACTTCACTACTTCATGAGATGGAATACTGCAGATTGTCAGATCAAAATGTCATACAGCCAGCAGCTTCCGTCATGCAATCTCATTCAACTTTCATTAAAATATCTGTGGTGGCACAGAAAAGGAAGACAGAGAAAAACGTGGAAATGATACCTTAAAAGGAATACTAATGGACTGTAAATGTCAGAATCTTGGAGGAATCCCTGCTCATCATATAAGATGCAAACGGAGTAAATTTAAGGAATGGCTTATGGCACACTCAGGTTTTAGATTATGCAAGAGTGACACGTGTAAAGTGTAGGGAGCCAGGACATCTCCCGCTCTCTACTTGGTTAGGCAGAGACCCAGGGCTGTACCCATGAGGATATGGTGTAGTTGCCTTACCTTGCAGGTGTTGATCCATTAAGTGGCCAGAGTACTCTCTTCCTATTACTTCATTTTTCTGCATGTCCAGAATGGAGCAGACAACAGGGGGAAGTGTGTGTGTGGATTAGACACTGTTTATATTTTGGTAGGTGTGGGGTCTTATTTCACCTTGGGTTCCCCCAGCAGCAGACACTGAGACAATAAAGCAAATAATTTTTTTTTCCAAAAAAGGATGACAGAAAGTGTGGTAGGGAAGTAAAGGACCCATGGGGAGAGGGTGGCAAATAAAGGCTCTTATCAAGCAAGTTACCACCGTAGGAACCAAAGTTTAATGCCTCTAGGACACTCTGGGTAGCTCTGAAACACGGGTCTCAGTTATCCTACCTAAGAGGTGAGGTAGCTGAGATATTTATACTCCAGTTGCCATCAGTTATTAGTCAAAGGCTGCTCCTGGGGGCATGGCGTATTTTCCCTGGCACATCTGGCCTGCTGTGTGCAGGAGTGGTGTTGCTCTGTAGGCCGGAGGAAACCCCTCAGGCAAGTAAATCTAGTTGCTAGATTCTTCAAGGTTACAAATAAAGAGAAAAAAATGACAACAGGAAGATTAGTGGGCCCAGGTCTCACTGTGTGCTGCTACACTCTGTCCCAAGATGTTCATCCATCATTTCTCTTCTATTCCACCATTTTTAGGTCCTCCTCCTCCTTGGCCAGCATATCTGCTGGTTTAGATTGCTTGCCTGTGTAACCCAGACCTTTATCTCCAAGAAGTCTAAGTCCCAGATTATGATGCATTTTTTTCTGCACAATCCTATGAGCTGGTGTGTCAGATAATATCCAGCTCACAAAAGGCAGTGCTGGTTGCATTGTCACTTGATGTTCCACGCTCAGGTGCTATCACTTCATGGGGCCAGCAGCAGTCAGGAGCTGCTGTCTGAGTGAAGCGCTGTCTCTTGCAGACGGCATGGACTTGCTCCAGATCTCGAAGGGTTTGCATTGTGATTCTCCCACTGAGGCTTGTCAAAGATTCTAGAGAGTCTAGCACTATGGAATCTTCTGGATCACAGAGCCTAAGCACTAGTGTTGCTTGTACCACAACCTGACCAGCTATACAGCTCTCATTTGTTCCGAGCCCACCGTATTAGTTTGTTCTGGCTGCCATAACAAAATACCACACACTGGGTAGCTTGAACAACAAACATTTGTCTGATAGTTCTGGAGGTTGGAAGTCTGAGATCAAGGTGTCGGCAGATTTGGTCACTCCTGAGGCCTCTCTCCTTGCCTTGCAGATGGCCGCCTTCTCGCTGTGTCCTCTCACAGCCTTTGCTCTGTGCATGAGTGTCCCTGGTGCCTCCCTCGTGTGTCCGAATGTCCTCTTCTTATAAGGACACCAGTCAGATTGGATTAGAGCCTGCTCTAATGTCCTCATTTCAACTCATCACCTCTTAAAGTCCCCATCCCCACATACAGTCACATTCTGAGGTACTAGAAGTTAGGGCTTCGACATATGAATTTTGGGAGGACACATTCAGCCCACTCAAAACTGGAAGGCTTCTGACTCACCACTAAATGAGTTGGAACAGTATTCACAAGTGTGTTGGATGTAGTCTCCAAGATTTGAAGAAGTCTACTGAGCACTGTGCCGCTTTGTTAGTGGTAGGAGGTACAAAGTACACTGATTTGTCCTCCCCTTGGAGGAGTGGCCTGGCATGTCCCAAACCTCTGGATCCCTTAAAACTTTATTAATCAAGGCAAAGCCCTGGACTTTATAAAGTTTATCTCTGATCCAGATGTGCCTGACCGGTGCATTCAGAGTACTTACCATTTCCTGTCTCCCAGGCATGGTTAAATGATGTCATCAGCACAGTGAAACCATGAGACTGTCCACAGAATATTCAGATGATCCAGGTCCAGTTAAACTACATTGTAACCTAGCCATGAGAGCACAGCAGTGAACGTGTTACATATTTCTGTCTGCTCTAAGTGACAGCAAACTGCCTTTATTCTCCTTTCTCCTGTCCAGGAGGGATTGAAAAGAATGCATTTTCCAACTCAGAAGCCTCAAACCAAGTGCTGAGGCCAAGTTGATCTGTTGTGGTGAAAATACCGCATCTGGAGCAGCATCTGTGGTTGGGGTTAAGACTTGGTTAAGTTTGTAGTAATCCACCCTCAACAGCATGATTCAACTGGCTTTTTCTAGGGGACAGACTGGTGAGTAAAATGGGGATATGGTGGGGACCACCACCCCAGTCCCCTTTAAGTCTTTGAGGGTGGCCCCAACCTCTGCCATTCTTACTGTGGTGGGACGTTGCTCCTTATTTTGTCAGTGGCAGAGGGGGGCCATTTCAAAGTTTCCACCTGGATTTTCCTACAATGTATCAGTCAAGAGACACCACACATGCTATTTTAACAGAGAGAACTTAATGTAAAGAATTAAGTAGTTACTTAAAAACTGGACCTTCTTCTCCAAGAAAACACCAAATGGTGGGTAATGCCAGTGCAGTGGGAGGGCCCGGAGGCCCCAGCGGCTTCTGTGGAGGCTTCGGCAGTGGCATTCAGCGTGGGGTCGCAGTCATGGTAGGGGCCAAGGCTGAGGCCGCGGAGCTCGTGGAGGCAAGGCCGAGGACAAGGAGTCACCAAGTTGGGCTGCCTGGTCAAGGACATGAAGATCAGATCCCTGGAGGAGATCTCTCTCTTTTCCCTGCCCGTCAAGGAGTCTGAAATCATTGACTTTTTCCTGGGGGCATCTCTCAAGGATTAGCTTTTGAAGATTATGCCGGTGCAAAAGCAGACCTGCGCTGGCCAGAGGACCAGGTTCAGGGCGTTTGTTGCCATCGTGGACTACAATGGCCATGTTGACTGGGGTGTTGAGTGCTCCAAGGAGGTAGCCACTGCCATCTGAGGGGCCATGGTCCTGGCCAAGCTCTCCATCGTCCCTGTGAGGAAAGGCTATGAGGGGAACAAGATTGGCAAGCCCCACACCGTTCCTTGCAAAGTGACAGGCCACTGTGGCTCTGTGTTGGTATGTCTCATCCCTGCCCCTAGAGGAACTGGCATCGTCTCAGCCCCTGGGCCCAAGAAGCTGCCGCTGATGGCTGGTATCGATGACTGCTACATCTCAGCCAGGGGCTGCACTGCCACCCTGGGCAACTTCTCTAAGGCCACTTTTGATGCCATCTCTAAGACCTACAGCTATCTGACTCCTGACCTCTGGAAAGAGACAGTATTCACCAAGTCTCCCTACCAGGAATTCACTGACTATCTTGTCAAGACCCATACCAGAGTCTCTGTGCAGAGGACCCAGGCTCTAGCTGTGGCTACAACATGGCATTTTTATACAAGAGAACAAAGTGAATTTAGCCTGTTAAAAAAAACCTGTAAAGGCAAAGAAAGAATACTAAGGTATCTCAGAGATAGAAACTGCAGATAGCAGCCATCACTCTTATGGCTGGGGGAACAAGGGAAGAAGTTGGAATTACTGATATGTAGAAGCTTTGCAGAAAGAGCTGAAACTCAGACTTCTGAAAAAGAGCCACTACTCACCTTATGCTCATGACTCTGAGCTTGAAGGAGGGGCTCCCTGGGGCTGTGACTCAGAACTCTGAGGAGGAGGCTCTGGCCAGGCGGTGCTGGTGTTTCTGGGGGCCACTCTGAGGCTGGTCCTGTAAGTGTCAGAAAAACTGCAAACTAAATGCAAGTTCTGACTGCAACAAACTGTCAATGCCAAGGTGAGCAATGAATAGTGAGCCTGAGATGATGTGACAGGAACATGAAGCACAAGTCTTCCTATCCCTCCAGTTTCCCCTCTTGGCAGGGTCAAATATAGCACCAGCTGGCAAAGCAGAAATGTGATTTGCAGAGCCCAGCTCCAGCACCACAAAGCAGAACATAGAGGTGTGGGGGAAGGAGGTGTGAGAGGAGGAGGTGGGTAGAGAATGAGAGATACTAGCTTAATAACTAGGACGGGTGTCTTACTTCAGAGATCAAGCAACCAATATAAGATTCTACTAGTCCATACTCATGTAGGTTATGCATTCAAGAACTAGGGAAATGATCACAGGGTGAGTCTACAAACGTGTTGAGTCTATAAGAAGACAGGCTTGGGCTTAGACTCCACTTACCACCTGGCCTCCAATGCCCCTCTAGAACAGAGATGCCCTGATAGTGTTTTGGGTCCCAAACTTGGTGTCAATGTAGAGCTTGTATCCAATAGCCCTTGAAAAATCATGGAACATTCTTCTTTTTCCAGTGTGCAATTACTCAGGTAAATGGCTCTGTCATTTTGGGGAGGACTGGTGAAATCACTACTGAGGACACTTGCTGTGGTATCATTGCAGAGTTCTCCACAAGGGCACCCAGCCACTCCTTCAGTTGGTGGGTTCTACATCTGAGAATTGGCTCAGGTCTGGAAGCTGGGTGAATCATCATGACTTTTCACTGCGGTAGCTGATGTGGACTTTCTGTTTATCCTTTTTTAATCTCTTGTGATCATATGTATTAAGGAATACTCTTGTTTGTTAGTTGACTGTCGATGTTGTCCTCGGGCATACCATGGCTGCCCCAACTTCCATTGTGACCTTGCTGCCCATTATGGTCATTATGCCCCATCCTCGGCACCGATGGTTGAGTGCTGCTACCTGGCTTGTGCTCTTCTTGAATCTTATCCTCACTGACACTGGGGATCCCCATGGTGGCTGTTCTCTGTAGGCTGGCATTGGCAGTATGAGATAGTGGAGGCACTGCTGAGCCCACTAGAACATCCTCAACCTGTATCCTATCCCAGTCCATGGCTGGAGAGAGTCATCAGGTCATCGTTACTCTGCTCATCAGAATGCCTGGATTCAAATCTTGGCTCTGCCAGTTACTTACAGTATAACCTTGGGCAGGTTACTCAATGTCTCTGTGTCTCAGTTTCTCTTCCTGTAAAATGGGAATATTAATAGTACCCACCTTAAGGGGCTGTTACGTGGATTCAATGGACTAATCTCTAAATGGCTTAGAACAGTGCCTCACATATCATAAATCCTTAAAGAATATTAACTATTATCATTCCTCCGAAAGTAAAAACTAGCAAGAAACTACCCATTATTGTTCAGCCTCATTCTGGAGATGATAAAAAGCAATGAGACATGAAAAAATAAGTGAGGCCAAATATTGGAAAAGAAGAGACAGGAGTATTGTTATTTATGGATTATGTAGTCAGCCACCTGGAAAAATTCAAAAATACCAATGAAAAACTCTTCAAAATTAAAAAAAGAAGTTAGTAAAATAGCCAAATCAATAGTTTCCTTAACATTTACAATAGCCATCCAAAATATAAAATAATCAACTGGGTGGAAACATGAAGACAAAATACAAAATAATTAGGGGAAAAAAACCTTAGGAGAGTCAAAGTACTTTATGTAAGGGAAACTGCAGAATTTTAAAAGCAGCTGGACAAACGTGGGACTGTGTTTCTGGATGGTAAGTCTCACTATTGTAGGAAAGCAATTCTCCCAAAATTAATTTTAAAATGTATACACAGTTCCAACCAAAATCCAAACATTATTTTTTAACTAAAAAATGATTCTCCAGATTATCTGGGAGAATAAACAATGAGAACAGTGATAACAAATGTTATAAATAAGAATAATGGGGTATCTGTCACCACCAGATGTCAAAACACATTTATAATGTCAACATAGTTTAAATATTTTTACTGGTGGATAAATACACAGAAAGTAAAAAAGGTAGAAAAGCTTCAAAAGTCCATAAATAGACCTTACATACATATCTAAAAGTTAGTATGTAACAGAGTTTCCATTTCAAATTAGAGAGAAAAGGAAATGACTTTTCAGTAACAGGCTAATCACCTGGGAAACTATTAGGTTAGCTTCCCTACCTCATGACTTACTCCAAAATAAATTTTTGACTGATTAAAAATTAAGCATAGAAATATGAAACCATAAAAAAAGGTAAAATTAGATAAATATACAATCTTAGGGTGGGGAAGGGGAAAGACTATGTAAGGTACAAAACAAAGGACAAAAATAGTAGATTTACATACACAAAAATTAGAAATGTTTGGTGTCATAAAACATTAAGAACAAAACAAATTGGGAAACATATTTATAAAATAAATAATAGAAATAACACTGATTTTTATTTTAAAAGAAGAGCTCCTTCAAATCTATGGGAGAGATGTAAACAGGTCAGTATAGAAATAACAAATGGCACAAAAGAAAAAATATTAATAGTATATACAATAAAATGTTTTTAAGAATCAAAAAATACAAGTGAAAAAGCAATGAGACATTATTTCCATTTTTTCTTTTTTGGTATCAAATTGACATATTAGCACTTAAAAATTACAATATCCAGTGATGGTGGAGGTGTTGGCAAAACAGGCACTTTTGTACATATGTCAAAGGAAAAGAACCCAAACTCTTTAAAATAACTTAAAAAGGTTTATTCTGAGCCAAATATGTGTGACCATGGCCCAGAGAGCCACGCCCCAAAAGCCTTGAGTAAGTGGTCTTGCTGTGGTTGGGTTACAGCTTGGTTTTATACATTTTAGGGAGGCGGAAATTACACGTAAAGCCATAAATCAATACAGGGAAGGCGTACTTTGGTTTGGACCGAAAGGCGGGATATCTCAAAGCGGGGCATTACAAGTTATAGGTGGGTTTTAAGGTTCTTTGATTTGTAATTGGTTAAACAAGTGAAGTTTTGTCTAAAGGCTTGTTAAGTTGAGGAAGTCTGTTAGAGACAAGCCATCGGACATATATGCGGACTCAAATGATCTATTAAATAAATTGATGACTTACAGGTGTGGTTTAAGGTCTGTCTTCTATAACCTTAGGCCTGTTAATGAGTTGAAGCATGTCTGATCTCTCTTCTCATGGCCAGTAACTCAGCTTTAGGTATTTCTGGGGTTCCCTTGGTCAAGAGGGGGTCCCTTGACCCTCCAGTCAGCTGGGGGGTTTAATATTTTATTTTAGTTCACAAAATGTATATCTGTATATATGGGCAATGAAAAAAGACTAGAAGGACATACAATATTAACAATAGTTACCTCTGGGTGTGGGATAATAGGTAGCTTTTTTCATCACATCTTTTGTGTTTTTCAAATTTTCTGCATTGACATGTGTCAGTTTTGTAATTTGAAAAGGGGGAAAAATATGAGGGAGATATGAAGGAAATCTAAGGGCTCCATGCCCTGGCTGACTTCTACTCTCAAGTTTTGGGTCTCAAGTTCACACATAAGTTTAGAGAAAGAGCGTAGCAAGTATGACACCTTATACTATAACAAAAAAGTATTTAAAGCCCTGTGAGATTCTAGGTCAATCTTTTGAAAAATTGTTCTTCAATATGATACATTTTTACTATTAAGAAATTCACTTTGGTGTCAGTTGGATGACTAGTTACCCACCTAAGTTGATATTAGTACAGATTTTTAGATCGTGTAGCCAGAAGGAAAAAACTGAGAACAAGTGCTTACTCTTTCCCCACCCAATTCATCTTAGTGCGAGATAAGGCCCAAGAAAGAGTATCTAAAGGCCTGTCATTTTTGACCCTATTAGACCTCCATCTCCATTCCCTTCTTCATTTTTGGTGACAATCCCAGGCTACCCTAGCAAGCCCATACTTTCTCACCAAATAAAGACATGCTCCTTGCCAGGGGCTGGGGCTGGCAGTTGGAGCTGTTTTATCAATAGTCTATTTGAGTCTCTGGAAAACAATTTAAGCTGGCTGCAGTATTTCATCAAAACTGTTCAATATCAGTGACCTATGGGCCTCAGTGGATGGCGCATCCATAATTCATACCGCCATCTAAATTGGAGAGGGGAGACGCTGTAATCTCAGAATCCTTATTAAGGGAGAAGAGGAATTTTAGAACATGCTTAAAACAAGTACAGCTGAAGTCATTGTTACGGTTGGATTTTATCTTTCCAGGAGATGGAAAAAGCTAAATCAGGGACAACAGAAGCTAAACCTTTCCCCTACAGTACAAAGGAGAACAATGCGTGGTTACTACTGACTCATTTATTTTACCCAGTGGAGTAAACCAGAATGACTAATATTGTTTCAATCTATGATATCATAGATTAAAACCGGAGATGAGGTGGGGTTCCCTTAGCCCACCTTATATCCAGTGAGACCCAGGGTATTGATATGTAAAAGCACTTAAGCTCACCCTGGTAAGGCCCAGGGATCTCCAGAGTTGTTTTGACTTAGAAAGAGCTAGAAATATCCAGCACCAAAGGGAGCTACCCAACAGCCAGAACTATAAATAGACTTGAGTGAGCTTGGCTTGATGCTCCGGTTGGCCCAAGTCCTAAGCTCCTCCTTGGGGACTACAACCCAGGAGGCAGAAACGGAATTTGGACATTGTCTTGCTGCTTCCCTGCTCACTGTAACTTTCTTGGGAAAAGCCTATTTGCCGTCTGTAAATATTTCCTCTCCCCTTCCTCCTCCCTAAAACCAAAACGAAACACATAAATAAAATCCCGATACACAAATAAGTAAAGCAAAGCTTTCCTGGTTACTTTCTGGCATTACTAAGCATTGGAGATATACAAATTACTTATTGGTAAATTTTAAATTTATGTTATAAGAATCCCTGAATAATGACATGGGTAAAATAACGCTGTGAGGAAACCGTGAGAATGACCCCGTGTTTCCTACGGTTTTACTTTCTGCCATGGCCATTTCATTTGCCCTCGCAGTGCTCTGCAGAAGGTATTAGGTGCCCATGTGGCAGGTGAGGGAGGAGAAGCTCAGAGCCAGGCAGGGACTGCCCCGGGTGCACGTGCCCCGGCCCGCCCCGCCCCTCGAGTGTTCCCTCCACTACACCCGTGCCCCGTCAGTTATGAGCAGTTCAGACCTCCCCCAGCTCAAACTACCCACAGCCTTCGCTCATGCGACGCACATTCTGAAGAGTTTACTGAGAAGTTGTGCCGAGTGCCTCCAGATCATTGCAGTTTTCGAGCCTGTCCCCTTCGTCATGCCTGCCCCCGCCCCAACTTCCCATGCTGGTGACTGGGTGTCCCCGTGCGTCAGTGTGTGGTGCTCATGAGGTCCAGGCCATGAATTTCGCCAGCAACACATGCTCCTGGTCCTTACACTGAAGGGGATCAAGATGTGTCACCTCGAAATGTGCCTTTTTGGCATAAGGACTATATTGAGCTGAAGGCAGTTAAGAATCAGCACATACAGGAAGAGTGCTCTGCCCTCCCATTACCTGCCTAAAAGCGGGGCGTGAATTTCGCTTTGTGAGGGTGGGTGGTGCAAATCCCCCCTCTGCTGAGCGCGGGTGAGGAGAGGGAGCCTAACCCCTGGGGATGGAGAGCCGGCGCTGAGACGAGTGTGCACAGACAGCCCTTGCTAGACTACCCTGTCCTCCGTTAGCTCCCTCATGTCTTTCCCAGTCACTGCAGCGCAATTGACCATCCTCGAAGCCCAAACCCTCTTTCCTTTGTTAAGAAGGATATATAAGCTGTCTAGTCTAACCACTTTGTGAACTCTCATGAATGTAAAATAAAAAAATCAATACATTTGTATGCCTTTTCTCATGTTAATCTGTCTTGTTTCAGTTAAATTCACAAGCCCCCATAGACTAATCCCAAGAGGGTGGAGGAAAAGTTTTTCCTCTTCAACAATATGTAGTTTATATACACCTATATCTACCCTTAATCTCAACAACTGGGTGCCTTGGTCACAATGGGAAAAGATAACAGTAGCTTCTAGTGCAGTCATGTGTTGCATAACAGCGTGTCGGTCAACAATGGACTGCATATATGACAGTGGTCCCATAAGATTATAACACTGGGCTGGGCGCAGTGGCTCACGCCTGTAATCCTAGCACTCTGGGAGGCTGAGGCGGGTGGATGGCTCAAGGTCAGGAGTTCGAGACCAGCCTGAGCAAGAGCGAGACCCCGTCTCTACTAAAAATAGAAAGAAATTATCTGGACAACTAAAAATATATATATAGAAAAAATTAGCTGGGCGTGGTGGTGCATGCCTGTAGTCCCAGCTACTCGGGAGGCTGAGGCAGTAGGATTGCTTGAGCCCAGGAGTTTGAGGTTGCTGTGAGCTAGGCTGACACCACAGCACTCTAGCCCGGGCAACACAGTGAGACTCTGTCTCAAAAAAAAAAAAAAAAAAAAATTATAACACCGTATTTTTTCCTGTACCTTTTCTATGTTTAGATATGTTTAGATACACAAATACTTACCATTGTGTTATAATTGCCCTACAGCATTCAGTTCAGGAACATGCTGTACAGGTTTGTAGCCTAGGAGCAGTAGGCTGTACCATATAGCCTAGGTGTGTAGTCAGCGATACCATCTAGGTTTGTGTAAGTACACTCTATGATGCTTGCACAATGACAAACTCACCTAATGCTTCATTTCTCTGAACATATTCCTGTTGTTCAGTGACACATGGCTGTATTAGCAACCAGGCACTGCGTTAAGCACCTAAAGCTCTTTTAATATTTTCAACATCTCTATGAGGTAGCTACTATAGGACTTCCATTTTAGAAACGAGAAGTCTGAGGCCTAGAGAGCTTATATAATTTGCCTAAGGTCCCACAGCTTGTGAGAGGCAGAGCCAGGAGTCCCAGCCAGGCAGTCTGACTCCAGGGTGTGTGCTATCCACTACTGTACTGCAGCACCTCAAACCCGTGGGGTGGATTCATCCCGCCACTAAACCTGCTCCCAGGCTGGCAGCTCCTAGGCAGAGTAGAGACCCGGGCCAGTGTTGGCTTTCTGCCCTTGACTTTCAGCTCCTTCTTTCTCCTGCCTGCCCACCTCCACTCTTCTTCTTCTAGTTCTTTCCTATTTTTTGCAACAACCTTGCTCATCCCCGTGTCTCCCTTGGCTTAGGTCTCCATTCTGTTTAGGGACTGCCAGTCTAGGGCACCATTGATCAGTGGCTCCCAAACTTGGTTGAGCATCAAAATTACTGGAGGAACTTCCAAAAAAAACGCAAAGTTCTAGGCCTATAACTTCTAACACATTAGCAGCTTCCCAGGTAACACTGATATTCACCCAGCTTGGGAACAAATACCATAGTATACAGTGGTCATAGTTCTGATTGTGATGGGGGTGGAAAAACCTTTAAAAACCTGGATGAACACATTTGTTCATTTGGTTCCCTACAGATAAAAACTCACCTACAGCACTGATCTCTTGGCTTTAGGGAATAATTGTGTTTCTGCTTCCGTATGTTCCAAAGGGTCATCTTTAGTGCCCTGACACCTGAAAAACATCCTACTATCTCACGTGTGGGTGTTTGAAATGAATACGTTCTTGGCCTGTGAAGCCTTCCATGATATGTTAGTACTTTGAAGGAGAACTGGAACTGGTGATGGTACTTAGCGTACAACTATTGCTAATAATGTAGAGCTGTTAGAAATCGTACACATTTAATTAGCTAGTCCTCCAGAGGCCTCTATAGCAATAGGTAATTAAATGAACAGTTTAAATGAATTTGAAAGACCAGAGTCATTTCAGGATGAATGATTTCTGGAGATCTATTGTAGAGCATGGTGACTATAGTTAATAATCACATATTGCACATTTGAAAGTTTTTTTGTACCACAAAAAAATAAGTATGTGAAGTGATGGATATGTTAATTGGCTCGATTTAATAATCTCACAATATATGTATATATAAAAACATCACGTTGTATACTATAAATATATACAATTTTTATATGTAAATTAAAAAAAATCAACCATTAATGGCAATGTTTTACCCCTTTAAATGTCTCTAACTGTAAGAAAAGGAGGTTCAGAAATGCATCATCTGTTTTGAAATAATGCATCTACTCTCAAAGCCAGATTTGCTGCTGCTTCTGATAAGTTAATTCT